CATTTTTACCTGACTGATATTTATAAAGCCTTAGTTCTTAGAACAAATATTTTGCTAGAGTGAAGTATTAACTCCTTTTGGGTCATATGAGATTTTGTCTTTAGCGCTTATTATACACAAAAATTTATGATTTTATTTGTGGTTTTACCCCTTGAAATTCTTATCAAGTGTATCAAAGTTGGGCGTTACATGTTTTTATCTTAAAAGAGAAGGAATTGGAGTCACTTTGTCATTTATTTCTCTTTAGCTTTCTTTTCCCCCTAATTTTCTTGCTAGTAGTTTCTTCTCATTTATGGCCTCTATCTTGGAGAAGGGAGGTTGAACCCTCTTGTCGACAAGTGGTGAGTTATTGGCAATGACACGGTCAAAGTATGTATTCGACAATGTTGTGACACTGATATTAGTGAGGAAGAAGAAAACTCCAAACACCATTCATGAGCATGAAATATGCATGTATTTCAAATAATTTCAGTTTTATTTGTGATTGTCTTTTTCGGACATATTTTTACCTAATTGGCCCCAACTCAATTGCGAGCATAATGGCGATCATAATGTGCTTGTGTAAAATCTTTGTTATGGTCAATAAATTTATTCCAACATGCCTTTGCCGACACTATTTTGGTTAAGGAGTTGTTAAGTTGTCGGCAACTAGGATAGATATCCTAACACCTGTTTTAATTTAATTTAATTCATATATATTTGGAAAAAAATAGTATTTTGGATTTTAGAAAATACTACCATACCGATCTCATATCCCCAATAGTTTAAATAAACGAGCATAATACTGCAAGTAATGCACCTATCCCGAGGGATAGGTCCATTACTTAATGGTGAAAACTCGATTAAATAAACTAAAGATTGTATGACATCTGTTTAAGTATGTGAAACAATTTTGTGTTGACTGACAAATTCCCTTATTTAATATGAAAAATTAAATAGGATTTATTTTAAGTTGGGTTCGGGAATGCTTTTTATAAGGGTAAACCCCTGCAATTAATTACATCATAAATAACCGAAGTCACCTAAGAAAACTCTCGATAAAAATCAGGGGATATAATCTTCAAAGAGGTCAAAGGATTAGGATTTTTCAATGAAATCAGATAGAGATGTGTGAAAGGGGAATGATTCAAATTTGGAACATTTATAGTAGGCTTATTTTATTGTAGAGTCCAAAGGAGGAAGAGCTAGGGGATGTCATAGATCCGGAGGAGAATTTCAGTGACTTCCCAATCTATCCTATGGTTTGACTTCAATTTTAAAGATTAGAATTATTGAATGTTTAATCCTGCCAATTTTATTAATTAGGGCTTACATTCATGTGAAACTATCACCATATGAAACGATCACACAAATAGCCTAGAAGATATAGGATTTAGATTGTGACAGACGACAACCTCGGAATCCTAAAGCAAATTAGGGCTTAAATTGTATGGAAGAGCTATACAAAGGCCTAAGGATAAATTGAGGATTTATGTTGCATAAGCAAACAACCTCAAAATCTTATGAATTGATGTTTAATTTTAAGGAAAAACATTCTGTTATAGATCCTCTTGCTGTTGAAGATGGTCGCGTTGCCCACAATGCTAGCTCGAAGCTCCTCGTCATAATAAGTTTTAGTTTTCTAATGCGTCAAGTTATGATGTCAAATCAGATGTCCCTATGGTTATGACCATTTAAATATTATGGGGGCATATTAAAGTTGATTAAAATGACTCCGGTTAGGATCCTACGGTTCCCTCGTTCCATTGCCATTATTTTCTATCAAATTCACTTAGTCCAAATGAATTTACTAAACTCAACTGAATGAGTTCCATACGTTCATTTAGACCGTGAGAAATCTCGTTAGCAACCGTAGGTTACCACCTCCGAGGGATTCCCGATCATCCGATAGAGACGTCTTAATTTAGTTGCAATCGTTGTTTTGTATGATGTTTGTCATTAAATTTTGAGTTTTCTTATATTTTGAATGTTTGTGGAGATGATTTATGTAATTTACTATTTTCTATGCAGGTATATAAATACAAGCATGAATAAAAGTGCGGTAAGAAAGGTTTAACATGCAAGTTTATAAGCATATAAGTACAATATAGAAAGTACAAGAAAAGAAGGTACTGTAAACTGTAAAAGCGTACCTGTCGAGTTTTCTCGTTCCTCCACCTGAAACTTTAATATCTTTGCGGTGTATTTATATAATTTTCTAGGAATGAAAGCATGCTTTTAGAAAATGTAGGAAGTACAAACTTAAAGTGTGCCCACAAATTTAAAGTGTGTATGGCATATCTTTGGTGTATATAAATTTTAAGGATAATTCCATTAAGCGAATTATAATAAGCTCACATGTCCTTCAAGATTTTCAAAGGATCATGAAAAAGTTTTGGTGAATACCTTAGACATTTCATGGTCCTTGGAATTATCTTGAGTTCATTTAGGCTTTATCATATTTGCTATATAGTTCATACAGTTAATACTCTTATGCTCGGTGAATTTTTATGTTTTGATTATCCCTTAAGCAGGGTAATTATCACTTGATGTCATATTTATGAGTTATATGGGTAAAGGCCCTTAAGAGCAACTTGACTTAATTAATTAATTTGATTTTTAAGGGATGGGCTTGTAGTGTTTTGAAGATTTCAAATTAATTATGATTTGTTCTCTAAACCTCATTAGGTAAAATTTTGATTAAGCCTAATTTACTACTAAGCCCTTAAGATCTAATAGGTAGATTTGTAATTTTAAAAAAATTTATGAATTATAAATTATATTAAAACCATCAACTAGGGTTCAAAATCAGTGAATTATGATCTTCCAAATCAACCCCCTCACCTTAATATTCCCTTATTTAAATATTCTTCTAAATTTCACTAATTTGAATTTATTCTTTATGAAATTCAAAGTGAGGTTGATTTCTACCACTTATCTCTTTCTCTGTTTCAATCATCAAGACATGTTATTTTAAGATCATTTATTGCCAATTTACCCTCTTGATTAGGCCTAAATATTAATTAAGCTCTAAATTCCAAAATTACACTTTTGCCCCTAAGGTCTTAACACCCCATAATTCATTAAATTAGACTCAAATGACTTAAAAATTTTATGTAACCCCACTCATGGGTTAATTACAACATTTTAATTAAAACATCAAATGAGAAAATGTGGTTTTCTGAATTTATATAATTTTTATAATTATTTTTAATGCAAAAGTAGGTATTTTCAATGAAAATTTAATAACTTAATAAAAATAAAACTTCTGTCTTTAAGAAATAGAGAACCACTTGGACCAATTTTCATGTTTTTTAAAGATTTAATTTAATTACTAGAATTATTAGTTTGTTTTGACTATTAATTCAATATAAAATAATATTTAGATGGAAAATTAAGTCTTATGTTTTTATTAAATCCCTCTAAGTCAACTGAAAGAAACAAACTTCATTTTTTTTATTTATATTTTAATTATTGGAATTATTTTAGTGAAAAATTAAAGAAAATTCATTTTTAAGCCTTTTAAAATTAATATCTTAACTTAAAAAATTAGGAAAATTATTTTAATTGGTCTTAAGTGATCAGGAAGCCAAATGTGATATTTTAGTGTGTTTTTACAATTCTTTGATTTTTTTTATAGTTTTTAATTAATTTTAATTATTTAAATACTCAAAAATAACTAAAAAATAAAATATTTATTTTAATTCCAATTTTATTTTTTTAAGTTCCTCTGGTCATAAGGAGCTCCCAAAATCAATTTGATGATTTTTTGAATTGAATATTAATTATTATAATTATTTTAGTGCCAAAAATGTGATTTCACTTAGTTATTCCGTTTGGGTGGTCAAATTAACTCCAAATGACTTGAAATTTTTATGGGAAACTCCTCTAACATGAAGTTATAGTGGAAAATGATTTTAATGTCATTTACATTTATAATTACTCCAAATTAATTTTCTTTTCATTTTTAGGTTTAGTGACAATTAGAGTTATTTTAAATGAGTTAAATCAAATTTATATTTTCCTAAGATACTCTAACCACAGTGAACCTACCAAAAAAAGTTTTCTATTTTTTATGAGTATTTTAATTATTATAATTTTTATACCAAAATAGAGATCATTAACTTGAAAATTAGATATCTCTAGTTATAGATGCCCCCTGACCTTGAAAAAACCAGGAGAGATGCCTAACAACAGAGACATCAAAAGTCTCATGGTCCCATGACATGGTGAAATGTCTATGAAAATGGAGAATCAAAATAAGAAAAATATCATTTAATTAATTAAAAAAATTATACTTGCAAATATGAATCAAATAGACATGAAAATATTCCACATTGTTCTCTCTTCATTGAGCAACAAAGTATTTATGAAAATATTTCACATTGTTCTCTCTTCATTGAGCAACAAAGTATTTTTATTTTATTTTTGTGATTTTTTTACACAAAGTTATGAATTTTTAAAGTTCTGGCTATTTAAATAAATAAGAAAATCTCTATTTATCTACTTATCCAGCGCGACGCCACCTCATTCTAGGCATCTCTGAAGCTCCACGTGGCGTCTTCTGGTTTGACGCCGCCATCCACCTCAGTGTTGATTCGGCACGCGGTTACGCGGTTCGCATTCCATTCTTTCTTCCGGTGCGATCAAAGTCATCTGTGTGATACACGGATTGATTCGGCACGCGGTTCGCATTCCATTCTTTCGTCCGGTGCGATCAAAGTCATCTGTGTGATACACGGACGATCCAACGGCGCTCCGTCATCGTCCCTAAAGCTCTAGCCCGAGAACTGTCCAACTTTTAGGCTTAATATCTCTTTCGATACTTAACCAAATTAAGTGTGTTTTGTTCTCTCGATACTTAAACAATTTTGTATTTATGATTTTTGGATACCAAGCTCACGGCTAAATGTTTCCATAATCCAACGAATTGGACCTTTATCTCAAATCATTGAATTACTTGAAGAAAATTTTAATCAAATAAAATCGTGAATTCATGATGTATAAAATAAAATAAACTTATAGAAAATTCGTCCCAGAGAACGAATCTGGAAATCTTCTGCCGTTCGATCTTGTTCCTCGGAAGTATGTACATAATAAGGATAACGATTCAGACGGTTCTTTAGGGTTTGGTCACAGGGAAACCGAACAGCGGAAGCAGCGGGCGCGGCTATTGCCCCCGTTTGTCATCTCTTAATCGTCCAGCCATGGCAACCCAAATGAGCAAGAAGCGAAAGGTTGAAGATAATTTTCTTTTAGACTTCTTCTATATGCGAGTTTCTTCACCTGCTTTCCTCAAATTCTAATTGCTTGTCTTGTGTCAATTTTTAAGATTGAGGAGTTATTTGACACTAATCACTGCAAGACCGTCAATTATTATGTTTCGTTTTCTTATGTTTTTTGTGGGTTTTACTTCCCGTTTCAGTTTGTGGCCGATGGAGTATTCTTCGCAGAACTAAACGAGGTTTTGACCCGTGAGCTTGCGGAGGATGGGTACTCCGGTGTGGAGGTTTGGGTTACTCCTATGAGGACTGAGATCATCATTAGGGCTACCCGGACCCAGAGCGTTCTTGGTGTGGTCTTGTTTACTTGCTTCACTTTTCCTCGTCTCTTTTTATGATAATTTTCAGGGTTAACGTTTGGTTTATGGATTTGGGCCCTTCCAGGTGAGAAGGGGAGGAGGATTAGGGAGCTGACGTCCATCGTGCAGAAAAGATTTAAGTTTCCGGAGAACAGCGTTGAACTTTATGCTGAGAAAGTTAATAATCGGGGTCTCTGTGCTATTGCCCAGGCCGAGTCGCTTCGATACAAGCTCCTTGGAGGGCTTGCTGTTCGCAGGTTTGCCGGTTATTGTAAAAATTCTTTGAATTTATGATTTATACTGCTAGTGTTTGAATGCCGGTGCTTGAATATTTAGCCTGTTGGCTCTTTAGTTGCAGTTGATGTTGCATTTTGACTATAGTTTCTTATGTTTAAACTTAGTTTTTTTTTTCCGGCATTTTTTCTTCTCAATATAATATTTTCCCTTCCTGTTTCACTAAAAAGACCTTATATTTATCCAGTGATTAATGTTTTTCTCTATATCATAGTTCGGTGTTCGTTCCGATAGCTCTTTGGTCATTTTTAAAGATTTTCAAATCCACTGCTAAGCTGTCTTGATGTATGTTTTTATTGGCGAGGCGAATGTTAAAATAAGTGGAAAAGTTAGAACCATTGAAAAAATGCTGATTTCAGAAGATAAAAAAGATTTTGGATTAATAGAAACAAGTTTGCATATATGCTATGTAACTTTAGTGATTTTGATTACACAAATCATCCAGCACTATTATTAAAAGATAACTTGATATTTAAGTGATAATTTTTAATTATTTATGTATTGATTATAGATAAACATGAGAATAAATATGATGGCATAAATATTAGAGGTGATACCAAGCAAAATTTTGTTGAAGCTCCTCGCGATCGAGCAACTTCAAAATCTCCTCAAATTTGTTTCACTCTAAGGGACATTATCAACCTTTGCGTTGTCAGGGAACCCATCCTTTGTCGAGTCGATCAAGTAGAACTAGCTGTCGGAACTAACGAAAATCTTTTTGGGCCCACCTTGCTTCGGACGCCAAAAGGGATGCCCTTTCTTTTCAGAGGAGTGGGTGGAGCGTCAATAATATCATGGGAGCTTTTCTATTTGCCGGAGGGATGCAACTCCTTATCTGCACGGGGAAGGATGAACTGATTTTGGAGCAAGCTATGTTCCTTTTCCAGACGAGAACCCTGATAGATCAATGGGAGAGTGATGGGTGACTTGAGCCCTTGTGGACAAATCAAGAAATGAGGAATCAGTTAGATGATGATCAACTAGTTGCGACGAGGATGGATGTGTGCTGGTCGGAGGTGAAAAGTTTGATGTTCCTATCTCATCCCCAAAAGCTTCGCCATCATAAGCACTCGATCTCGGGTTAGAAGGGGTTCGAGTGGCCTCATCTGCGTTCGGTGGGAAATCATTAGGTTTTTGTGCAATAATAGCAATTTCCCCAGTTGACACATTTTGTATCGCGACTGCCATTTTAGACTTAGAAAAATAAAATTCGCACATATAGTATCCGCGTCGGCAACGATCACCTTACTGGGTTTGCCATGGGTTTGCACCCTCTTTGAAAGAGCGAGCTTACCTCTTGATTTTCTCTAGGAGGCTTTCTCCTCCACTTCCTTCACATAAAAAGCTTCTTTGGCTTCCGTGGCTCTCCATAGTTCTTCCGTCGTTCGACCAAATTTATACGGTAGCAAAGCCCTATCAACAATCTTTTGAACGGTGTATTGAGGGATGGATAATGACCGCCTCTCAATTTTCTCCTCGTCAGCCACAAGATATTTCAGGAGTATATTGGTTTTGCTTACTGACGCATCCTGAGGAGTGACACTAATCCCCCCAGCCGTCGGTGCAAGATTCAACCAGAAACTGTTTCTTCCAGCCTTTTATCTTGTTCTCCAACCTTAGGAGTGGGAGTCTGTAACATGCAGAAAATTGCGCATGGCTGTCCTTGTCAATTTTGAATGAAAAGTAGTAGTTGAGCGAGCAGCCGACCATGGGATAACTGAGCAATCGCAGAAAACAATGAACGTTGTGATTGCGACAATCAAATTCGACATGACTTGGGTCGTAATTGCCCTATATCGATTGAAACTACCATTCAACTCAGTACACAGTGGGATCCCCAGTCTGCATTGAAATTGATTCCGGTAGAACACTAGGTCATTTCCGAAGTTATTTGTCGCTCGATCAAAACTCCCAAAGTATCGTAGCTTAATTGTTTTGTCAAAAACACTATTAGCTTTTGCGTGCCTTCCTAGGTCAAGACAAAAGCCTCCACCGCAGGGTAGGTACCAAAAACCCCAAGAGAATACTTTCGAGCCTTGGAAGGAAAAAGAGAGAAGGAAAGAATCAGAGGGGTTTTGGAAAAAAACTTAACTCTAGTGTGTCACAACCTATTTTAAGGGGATGCTGGAGTCAAAGCGTCCAGAGGCCTTCATTCTAAATATCTCGATATTCAAAAAAGGGGACACACTACATCCCATCAAATATAAATATAAATATAAATATAAAATATGCTAGAATTTTTTTTATTTAAAACAAAAAAAACAATTACAAAAATTATTCAAAAGGAAAATATTTAACAAAAGAGTTTTCAACCACTTGAGTCTCGACATGTCCCTGGCTAAGTAGCCACTTGAACAAATGACCACTGCCAAGCCTGGGATGATTGCCCCGATCAGTTTCTTGTTGAGACCAACTGACCTGCAAGTCCTCTAGGAGAGCCACCACTTAATTACGAAGAATCTGTATTTCTCCTTCCATCCTCTCGATCTGAGCTTGCAGATCTCGAACGACATCATTATTTGGTTCTCCGGTTGTGCGCTCAAAAGACTGCACCATTTCATTCACTCTACGCTCCAGCGACCTGGAAGACTGTTGCTGACCGCCATCCATTCCTTATGAAGTATTGAAAGGATCGGCTAGCTGGTTGATCACATCGCCGGCCGGTGTTTGGTTCTCTCCAATCGATCAGTGAAGCACGAATATTGAAATTTTAGGTTCAACAACAACATTAGCTGACTCTGGCATGGGAGCGCTGACTTTTTGCACTTCAGGCGGCGGGGCATTAAAAGTCATTGTTGTACCAAATTGTTTGAGAACAGCGACTACCTTTTAGGCGATCTTATCAACTTGATGAGACTCTTCCATGACGATCGGAAAGCGGCGGGGCATTAAAAGTCCTTGTTGTACCAAATTGTTTGAGAACACCGACTACCTTTTAGGCGATCGTATCAACTTGATGAGACTCTTCCATGACGATCGGAACAGGATCCATGGGAGGAGCTGAAAGCCCTTAATTTTCCTCCATTCCTGCTTCCTGCTGCTTTTTCTAGCCGATCAGCTTTAGGACAAGCGGAAGATGCAACTTGATCATTTAAGTCGATCGCGTAATTCTTGAGTTTGTTCTTTCTCAAAAACACCATCTTCTTCTATCTTTTCACTTACAGGGGCAAGAGGAGATTGAGGAGGGAATTGAAATTCATCCAAAACCATCTGAAGCGCCTTATTATCAAAATGGTATGGGGACCTCACGTCAGACATAGAGGCATTTGAAATTTGATATTGAAATGAAAAGGGAAGAATACTAACCCTATTTATAAAGATCATATGGGCACAAAAAACTAGTAAGTAATCATTACACTTTGATGAGATTTAATTAATCATTTTCTGGTCCTTTTGTAGTTACTAATGAGCAAGAAAAATAAGGAACTAATATGTATACATAAAAAATGTCAGCACAAATCCTAAAGAAATCAAACGGTTTGAGAGAATTTCACTGTTTCTGATCGGAATTCCATGTGAAAGATTGTCAAACGATCGGTTAACTCAGCTCGCTTTCCCTAACGACCGTTAGTCCAACCTAAACTGTCGATTGAATCAGCCAATCTCCAGAATGGGTCAGGAACAAGGTACTCAACAGTTAGAAGTAAAAGTCAATCATATATTATGTCCAAAGACAACCATCTGTTAAAGTGGCACTCCCTCAGTTATCTAAATTAGAGAGGTGGTTATAGTAACTACCCAAGGTTAGGAAAAAAACAAGGAATACCTCCTAACCATTGAGATAAAGGGTATAATGGTGTAATTGTATACTCAAGTCACCTAGGATTATAAATAGGGGCTATTTGATGAATAAGGTTACACACTTCTCTTTGAATTTCCATTTGATCTGTGTCTTTGTTTCTATGTTTTCTCTTTTCTTCCCTTCTTTCATTCTCAAAATTCACAGGGCTTGTCAACTACGACAATTTAGGATTCAACAAGATGAGCGCTTAGTAATCTTTCCTTGCACCAGAAATGTAATTTGGGCAAGGTTTACCTAACAGCGCTCGGACAAAGAATTAATTGGAGTTTGTCAGGCTTCCTGCCTTTAACTGTTGCTTGGAGTTTGGATTAAGCGCCTACACTCTATCCTTTTGACGGTTCTACGGAATAAAATTTTGATTTTTGCATCCTCATGATTTTCTTATGCACATTTGTTGCGACTTGGTATTTTTTTTCCTTTTAGTGTGCATTAGTGAGAGTCATGATGTGTATTTCAGATGATTAGTATTTTAATTTCTCTGTATCACCTTGAAACCTCTCTGGCTCTCATTGGCCATTTTACTTTTTCTTTTTTCCATTTGCAATATTTCATTAGCTTGATTTTTTTTCCGGCTTGAAGATTTATTAATGTATTTTTATTTTTATATTCCTTTTGATTCTATGCAATTATATGAGGTTATATTGTTTGGTATATAACTTTTGAATCAATTTTAATATCATTTGATAATCAATAGATGGATCAAATTTTTTTTTAATGGATGGATGTGCATTTCATAATAAAACAATCTCAATCTCTTAAATACAGAGAATTCTGAATTTCAGTTGGCTTTTATCAAATAAATGGAATACCGATGATAATTTAATGTATTGGATGGTTTTGTTTATTGATATTCATAGATAAATTTAGATTTTAAAAATGTTGCAGACTATTTTCTTATAATCTACTTAGTTCATCCCCCTTTAATCTTTTCCAGGGCTTGTTATGGTGTCTTGAGGTTTATTATGGAGAGTGGTGCCAAGGGATGTGAAGTATGTATACTTTTTCTTTGCTAATTTATTTTCTTTATGGATTTCCTTACTTAGTTCGTGGGATTCTGTTTTATTGCAAGCTTTTGCCTTTCCTTGCATTGTTTTAGGTTATCGTGAGTGGAAAACTTAGGGCACAACGTGCAAAATCCATGAAATTCAAGGATGGTTATATGATTTCTTCTGGCCAGCCTGTGAATGAATACATTGATTCTGCTGTGAGACATGTTCTTTTACGACAGGTGAGTTTTTTTTTTTTTTTTGGGTTGGGGCAATTTACATAGGTGGCACGCATTTCTTACATATTTGCATATCTCACATCTAAACTCTCATATTTAGATACATAATACTTTGCTGTTTTAAATATATGCATGAAAAGGTGTATTTCACTTTTAAAAAGTGGTAATAGTGATATTAAAGATTTGAATGTGGGGTAATAATTTTTATATTTATAACACCCAACTCTTTCTTTTCACATAAAAAAATACCACTATTTAAACTTTTAACAAGTGAAGAGGTAAGGTTGTATATCCATGTAACAATTGAAGTTTAGGTGCTGGATATGTGAATAAATAGGAATTAAGTGTATGTATGTAAAATTTGGCTTCTTTTTTTTGGACTTTTATTTGGATTTTCATTTGTGTTTTAGAGTTGAGATGTTAATCAATTGTTGCTGAAAAATTTTTGTTGCCAAATTATACTAAGAACTATATTATAGAACAAAGTCCTATATGCATGGGGATTGTTTATGCGGGTTTCATGGTTATTTTCCAAAACAATAGATGGCCTAAATGAATATATATATATATATA